TTTGTTTGTGGATACTTTGAAAATTGTGCTAAATAATATAAAATATTTAAAGCTTTCAATACTAAGTATTTTTTATTAGGCTGAATTAGGCTGACAGGTTCTTGCATTGCTCCAAAATGCAAAAACCTGTCAAAAACCTTATTGTCTCAAACATTTTTCTCTGTGACACATATTTGAAAATAATGGCAAGGTCAAACACAACCTGGTTTCTGTCAAGTGACAAGTCAAACACTTGACATTTGTACAACAACAAAACAGGAGACATAACAGTTGTGTCACTTCTTCTTTTGTCTTCAACCTAAAAGACAGGCCAGACAAAGCACCTGTTTATTTGTGTGAGCTGTTGTCAGGCCAGCAGACTAACAGCTGCTGCATTATATATATATGTGTGTGTTTGTTTGTGTGTGTGTCTGTGTGTGTGTCTGTTTGTTACTGTAAGTCAGCTGTAGATGTGTTCATCTCCTGGGCTCAGCACTTGTCAAGTCCTGCATGCTCACTCTCTGCCCAAGTCTCCCACCTGCCTCTGTTACACATCCCCTTCTAAACGCTGCTGCAAATGCAGTTTATCTGACTGATGCAGACACCACAGCTGTATTAGTCTGACTGCACCAAACAGCTTCAGACAGGGCTGAAACAATTGGAGAGGAAAAGAGGAAGACTCTCTGTTCAAACAAAAGCAGTGCTGCCAGAATCATACTGTGCCTCAAGGTTTTCAAAATCTGTCAGCTGACGAAGAGCTTAGAAAAAAAATCACAATCAAAAACAACAACAACTCAACAATACTCAATCGTTATCCTGCAAGGGCAGTGACAAGATTTCGTTTTTATCACATGGCTGCCTATAAATAAAGCCTCCTGTCTAAAATACTGCCAGTGGTACCATTTACTAGTGATTTCCCAGTGGTTCGGTTTAAGGTAAATTTAACATTTTAATGTCTGTAAAGCACATAAAAGTTTTCAAGTTTTTTTTTTTAACATCAGGAGCTGAATCACCATGCTGCATCAGTCTAGTCCTTAGGCAACCGTAAACAAACCCAACACCTAATCTTACTATATCTAAAGGCTTGTGTTTAAATGGTGTCGTTTGAGACAGTTAACCTATCGTGGTCTCACAACGTGATAGAGTAGTGGTGATTGATCTTAACAGCAGGATCACCAGTTTGATCCCCAGTTGTAATGAAATATTCTCCCTGTATCGGAGTAGATTCCTCCAACAGTCCAAAAAGCACAGATTATGTTAGTGGACACTATTCATGTACAATATTGTCTCTGACCTGGAAGCAAGCCTTGGATAAAACCATGGAATAAGTTTTTGCTGCTATCATTTAAAAAGCAGGCTGACTAGAGAGAACTTTATCATGGGCATATAAATGTATACTGTACATATAATGCGTCCTATTTGGAGTATTCAACATTCTAATTTAAAAATCTGGGTTTACAGCATGACAAAGGGCCCATGAATACCATGTTTGGCTTGAATAAACAACATGAAGCTTCTCTGATCACCTGCCACAGACAAATGTTCTACATCTCCACACACAGAGAGATCTTGTCTCCCAGAAGACACTTGCAAGTAGGACACCGACTCCTCTGGTTTCTGCTTCTAGATTATGTGCATGTATCGTGGCACACTATAAAAAGAAACTGCTGTAACAGACTGGAACTCAAATACTGCTTCTAACTCCAGACGCCCGTGTGATTCACACAGCGAGAGTGGCATTGTGAAACGGTGACACAGCCCATTGCAGTCACCAGATGGGAGGTGAGCATTATTACATGGCCTTATTTGCTACAGTAGCCTTTTGTGTGTTTACAGTGCTGTGAGACTTTAGCAGGAAAAGCTGCTCTACAGGGAAAACAAAACGAAAAAAGGCTAGTAGGCATTGCAATCCTATTCAGAGGGAGTTTCTTTAAACTTCAGTTGATTATTAAACACTCTACTACTGCAACAGGGGGCATATACTGTCCCTTGGCCAAATCCTACGGGTGCTGCAGAGTGCTGTACTATTCAAGCCACAATGCAATCACTGCCATATGAATAAGAGGCCTGAGCTGTGTTAAAAAAAACAAACGAAAAAAAAACACCAATAAAGCCTATGCTAGCATACAGGAGCTCTGCTGAGTAATCTGTGTGTGTAGCTCCTGATGCAAAGAGAATATAATGAGAGTAGATGTGCTAAAGAAGCCTGTCCTCCTCATCTGTCATACAAAACAGCATTCAGGTGTCAACTCCATCCTCTTCTCTTTCTCTCCAAAAGTCTATTTTTAAAGGGTAGGGCCTCACTGCAATGCCTCATCTTTAAACTCGTGCAGCCCATGGTTTGTACACAATGTTACACCAATTAAAAGGGGGGCGGGGGGGTGGAGGAGGGTATTATCTTAAACACAACTATCACATTACTAGAGTAGTAATGTAAGAAAACAAAGGGTGCCAGGGGGGCCGTTGGGGATAGAAACTTAGTAACTAGCCGCAAGTTGCTGTTGTATTGAAGAGCAACATTATAATACAGAGTTCAGGCAACCATAAAATGTTATGCTTTTTTACTGTAACATATAATCGCTACCTTGGAAACTTGTTTTCAAATTTAAAAAGGAAATTATCATAATGAAAGTTTAAGACAACTTTTAGCACTAGACATTATGAATTGATTAGATGAAATTTAGTACAAACATATTTGATTAACTTGAGTGCTGTAGCAACAGCCGTAACCATACTGGAATATCTGTTTCAACACAAAAATAACGGTCCAAGAAAAGTTGGTACATTAATTAGACAGAGGGTCTTTCTCATTTGTAAGGAGAGTGTTACTTACTGAAAGGTGCATTTAGTCTCAGGAAGTGTTTGTTTGGATTTTTATTTTATTTAGATAATTATTTTTATTCATTTGGCCGGGGAACAATCTACTCTGTAAAAAGCTAAGCTACATCTACATTCTCCTATTGACCGTAAGGAAAGATCTCCTCACGCATTGCGTGTATCAGTCCTCTATCCTGTGCAATTAACTTAGGAAAAACCCCACTTGACAGAAACAGCTGACTCACACACTGGCTGACATCACTAACCTCTAATTAAAAGGGAAAACACTATATGGTGGATGTTATAATACAAATAGCTTCACCACTCACATTTTTAACTTGTATCCCCGGTGGTGATTGAACTTCTGACCCAGACAGTGAAAGTGTTAAAGATAAACCGATTGAAGTGCATGTTATATTAATAATTCACTTTTTGTTACAATGTTTTTTCCATTGTAGTGTAGGCGTCTGACAGTTTCCTTCAATGATGGCCTTTTAAATCAAAAGGCCAAACTGGCTGTAGGCGTTCATACTGGTTATATTTTGTCTTTCACTCAACCATTACAGTTTTCCAGAGACAGGATAAAAACGTGCAGTTTATAATAGAATCAACTGTTCTGTAGTTGTTATGAATGATATGAGCTGACAACACAGACTGGACCAAAGCACTTGACACATTTACATCTAACTTTCCAGTGACAGGTTATTAGCAAACTTTTGCATCCAATACAATCTTAGTAAACAAGGATTAGGTGGCCGACACACTGTCACTGTCAATGGAAACAAAAACATTCCATTACTACAGAGACAAGCTAATGAGGAGCAATGCCTCTGTCATTGTAGTCACTGTGAGTCATATGATTATATTCACTGTGTTGATATCTGCTCATTTTATTAGATTCTAGACTGATATGGATCCAGCTGGGTCACAGCAGCAGAAATCTGTAAATAGTTGATTAGATTTCACATTTTATGTGTACATTTTTACAAAACTGCATCTTTACCAATTCTAACACCAATGATTTGTATATGTACCAAATGTGTGTGTAGGAATTTGTGTTTTGAGGCGTATCCATGCAACAGTGAAAAGGCATGGCCATCTCCTAACCACAATATAAGCGTTCATTTCCAGCTGTAACACAATAATCCCCAAGACACCGTGAACAAAACCACAAAGAAAACCACAGCCTGTGACTTTGTGCCTCGTATGAGTAACCAGCCAAAAGTGATTCTTCTGTAAAGTGAATAGTTTTTATTACAAAAAATACACTATTTATATAACTTTATAAACAGTTATTTAATTTTATAATAAATATTATCCCTTGCACTTATTTATTCGAAATAATTATATTGTATTATAATTTTATTTTGTTAAATTCATATATAATATAATAGAATAGAATAGAATAGAATAGAATAGAATAGAATAGAATAGAATAGAATAGAAAACACTATTCAGGTATTTCATTTAATAAGCATATTTACATGATATATATAGTTTTGAGAGAGCAGACAGGTTTAGGGCTATAAGGTGAACATCATCACACTTTGTCGGCTTCTCCACGGAAGACATGCAGTCTTTGGTCAGCTGTCCCCTGCTGGCTCTGAGTAGCAGGTTGCTCTACCTCCTCACCCCACACTGACAGGCTCTACTTTCTTGAGATAAAAATAGATAACGATGCTAACAGATGCACCAGCTCCTGTCTATCTATCTGACACACACACGCGCGCATGCTATTCTTAAGAAGAGAAAAATCTGGAAGTAATATAAAAGAGATTAGGCAAAGGCGCTCAAAATAAGATGATACATAGTTTGACAATACCTGGGCGGACTAGAAAGATTAGAGAAGTCTACCAACTTTGAACAGAGCCAGTCATAAGCTAGTTCACAGTCCATTCAGCACGCTGCAAAAATAGTCAACTAAATACAGAAGCAGGCATTGACTGTGACATGTGAAACTTTTAGATATTACTTAAATATTCACAGCCAGATGACAAATTAAATGTCATAAAGACACGACACTATTAAACCAGAGAACAACAAAGCTGCAGGTAAAAATAATAATGTGAAAGTGAACAATTTTCTGTTGCTTTCTCTGTGTTTTGATAAAAACTCAGCATCTCCATCGTCAGATCCTGACACCTCAAACTCCTGTTCAGCAGCCAGTGCAGAGCCTCCTCTTAAGGAAAGTAAGCAGGACTCACCGTTCGCAGGAACTGAATCTCCTCCTCTCCTTCTCCCCCTTCTGCCATCCTTCACCGAGGGTTATTCGCAATTCCTCGGGAGAAAAGAGAAAATCCTTAGGCTTTATCTCCTCAGGAAGAAATAGTTAATTTCCTTCGCTATGTGCCCCTTATGGTGCTTTTTCTGTTTCTACGCCTCCTCCTCTATCTCCCTCTCTCTCTCCCTCTCTCTCTCAGTGTCTCTCGCTCTGAGAGCTAGTGTGTGGGTGTGCTGGAGGACAGCGTGAGTCCTCTGGCTCTCACGTTGTTGTGAGAGAGAGTGACGGGAGAGGAGGCTCTGCGAGGCTCCACTCTCCTTGCATCCCCGAACAGCAAATGAGGGTGGGAGGAAGGACGGGTGAGGGAGGGGCAGGCACCTTGTTACACATTTACACTGCTCCCATCCCATCATGCCGCCATGTTTGTAGAAGTGGGCCACTCCTTTAAACAAGCTTTGCCCCTCCACCACACTCACACTTCTGTGCTCCCTACCTCCTCTCCCTCCATATGTCTGAGGCTATAAAAGGAAAGAGGGGTGAGGACAGTCTTTGGGGAGTGTACAGTATGAGCAGATGCTCGCACACCCAAAAACACACCTAACACAAATCAGCTGCATGTTTTAGAGATGCTGCATCAGCCATGAATGGTTTGTTAATTGAAATTCCAGTCTAACACACAATATTTGATGTGTCTTTTCCCAGTTGATAAATAAGTGAGTTTTGGGTCAAATTACTAGGCCAAGGAGACCTCACATGTAGTGGGGTCCCTCTGGGTCATGTTCTCCAGCTTTTCCTAAGAAGACTTCAGTAAGGCTTTGGGTCGGCACTCTTGGTCAGAAAACTTCAATTTCAGACAAACTTAAACTTAATTCTTAATTATTTACCAAGTACATTTAGTTTGTTTGTTTTTAACAACAAATCAAATGTACCAATTACAATGTATTTACTTAGAAACAATCAAAGTGAGCATTATAATTAACCAGAGGTTAGTTACTGATTAGTTTTATCAGTGAATCTGGAGCATAACTCAGTGTGCAGTGGATGCTACCAATGCTTTTTTTACAGTCTAATCAATACTGTGGGGGGTGGGGGGGTGAGGAGGGATGAGAGACAAGCTTGCAGAGACATTATGTCAACCTTTTAATTAACTCTGTGCATCTTCACGCTTTCCTATAAAATTTCCAGTTTTTATGTTTCAGTGTTGGCAAAGGCCTTAGCTGCATTTAAGCAGTAATTAACTGACACTCTTCTTTTTTTTTTTTACTGTTTTTCTTCCTAACAAAATCGTACTCTTACTGCAAAATCACCGTCTGCAGACTCCATTTGTCTCTGAGCAGCTTTTGCAGGGACAGGGAAGTGAAGGGAAGAAGGGATGCGACAAGAATGAAATCAGTAATAGGTCAACAAGACCAGAGTCTTTTTTTAATTGTATATAAATGATACACTGATGTTCTTTTTTTTCTTTCAACATGTTGGAAAACATCTATCATAATTAAAGTTGATAATTACTAACATTAACCTTACTACAATGACAACCAACAGATCTTGTGTTGCCACTGAAAAAATGTATTTCTGTTAGTAAACAGCATTGTAGAAATTGTTGCCTCCACCACAGCTAGTTGGCCAAAGTTTGGGTTGAACCTTTACCTACCCACAGAACTGTGCGAACTTTATAACAACACTTTTCAAATCACTGTATATCTTTTAAAATCAAACTTTTAAAAAGCATTGGCACACTGTAATTGTGTTAAAGTAAGATTTAATGGGCATTCTAAATAAATGTATGTTGTTATTAAAGAAATGTCCATTTGGAATAGTTATTCCGTGATACCGTGGGTAAAACGTTAATTTATATCTGTATAAATAAAAACACTCATGTAAAACATAATTCGGACAGGTTAAAACATAGAGTTGGTTATTAAGACTGTTGTGACATTTAAATACCACTAACTCCCGGTGAACGTTAGCGAGGACACACCCTTAACTGAAGATTACAGTAAGCAGTAATGTCCAAAAAAAGAAACACACAAGGTGATGACACACGGTGTGACCAACAATCGACGACAGAATCCTCACCTCCTCAGACTCCATGTGGCATCCTTCAGCATGACCTCCCACTGCATCATTAGCTGCAGCCGGTGTTTGGTCAGGCTTCTTCAGGACGCTGCTTTTCGGGGGTTCAACACCGTAAAGCGGTAAAATGGAAAGAGATGGTCGCAATACGCAGAAGTAAAACGAATTCTGGGAATTGAAGTCCTGGACGCTATATAACCTGCCGTTTCTTTATTTCTTCTCTGCCAGTCCGTAAATCTAGTACAAGATTGCAGTTGCTTTAGGGCCCCAGAAGATGTCACTACCGCACCTGTTGATGATCATATTCGCTTTCGTTCCCTAATGACAACGATTATCAGTGGAAAAAAGCAATTAGCAATAGTTATCAGACCCATACCGTCAAAAACAGCCAGTCTTTATGGAAATAAATAGATGGATTTAAAACTCACACTGCATCCTTATCTATTGATATATGATGTAAACATATCGTAAATAAACCAATAATGCAGTGTGTCTGTTTCAGATAACATAAATTACCAAACACTTCTCGAATATATTGTACTTTTTACAAAATAAAAATGCAAAAGCCATATAAAATATGCATATGGTAGTTTTAACATATTACATTTCGGAAGACAGACAAAATTTAAAGGCGTCAGTTTTAAATTTCGTCATTTTTTTACGCCTCCAACACAACTTCCGTCTGAACAAGGAATAACAAAATAAAAGCGCCAAAATAAAATAGAATTAAATTCAGTCCTGCAAAAACAACACTTTTTCCTTATCTTCCTGAAAACAATTTCTAAGACCACTCTTGGATCCTCACATTACCTATTTCTTCTTTAACATTTCTGCCTTCCCTGCGGTTTCAGTCCTTCAGCCAGATTCTTTCTAATGCAAATTCTGTGCATTTTTAGATGTTTGGGACTTGGCATGCAAGGACTGTAGGAGCCCCCCTTTCTGTGCATCTCTGCCTGCTTTTGAATGCCATATCACCCAGTCGCTCTGCCAAGCAGTCAGCTTCCTGTCTGAAAGAAGCCACCTCTGCAGACTTGAGGACATTAATGTTCTCTGTTTGATCGCCTCTTCCTCCTGGTGCGTAAAAACAACGATGGCTTTCAAACCCCCTGTCCAGCTGCACGGCCACATTCAGCAGCACAAACACTGCCTGCCTGTGTGATCACTTTCCACCCTGAGAAATGACAGGGTGTAGAAAGAGAGAAGGAACCAAACGGGATGACCACCAGGATTTAGAAAATCCTTGAGGAACAAATTTAGGATAAAGATGAGAATTAGGATTCAACAATCAGATGATACTTTAAAAACTGATTCTTTGTCTAGTTCAGGTGATTCTCCAGAACACTCTCAGGCACAGTGGTGGGGCCATCTTTTTCGAGTACCTCTTACAAAAAACCACACATGTTGTTTCCTGAGGCACACGAGCGCTGCTCAGATGATTGCTCATCACTATATCTCTAACTCTCCTCCTCCTTCCTCTATTGGTACTGCATTTGCGGTCACTATTCTCTGTCACTCTAACTCTCTCCTCCCTCTTGTGCGCACGCACTCACACACACGCGCGCGCACACACACACACACACACACACACTGAAACTAATGTGAGTTCCCCTATCTGTCAGAGCCAGTTCCTCCATTTAAGTTGCTGACTTGTTTATGTTGCAGTGAATGACTTTTGTTCATGGTTGCTTTTCACTTTGAAGCTCTTGTTTGGCACCTTTTTTTTATGCCACTCTCATTGCAGGCGGAGGGAGCATGAAGTCTACACTGCTGCTGATTTGCGGCAGATAGAGATCATCAGATAGCAGACACGGCAAAGGGCTACTGACAAACTGAGAGCTTTGACAATCAGGGGGTTTAGATGTGGAGTTTATTCTAGTCAGACTGGCAGGTGGGCTGCCCTCATTCCCAGCAGCTCTCTGCTCTGTGCAGGCTCTTGCCCAACTAGGAGCAAAAACACACAGAGGACACAGAGGGAAAGAAGAGGAGGAGAAGCAGGTTCAACCATGGAGCTGTGAGGGACACATTCAGATGCCCAAGTGGACCATCACTGGAAAAGGAGTGTTGCCAAGGAGAAGAGGTCTGCAATGAACAAGACCAAGAGGTAACTAAAACCTAAGCCTGTGCCTCTGATTTGAAATGCTGTTGCATTCCAACAGTGTAAGTCTTATTATGTGTCAGCAGCAAGTGTTTGCTGTGCAGCAGAGATGTGTGAACCCTGAGACTCAAACGCACTGTGGTTTGTGCAGGGACTTTAGTCTGAGAAGAAACTAGAGCACCGGCTGTTGTTTTCCACTCACTGCACGTCTTTTCAGCCGTTTATTCAAATCTTGACGGTGTGCAGTGGAGGGACAGAGTGGTCTGTGTAAAAGAGAAACACTGCCGGCAACACATCACACATTCACATGCGCACGGCGATCGTCTTTGACCTGCATATCAGCCAAGACTACCAACTTCTCAAATTATCTGTGTGTGTACTGCACACAAACAAAGTCTTGACATTCAACAGCCGCCTGTTCACCTTTCCATGGAACTGTGTTCTGTGTTCTGCTTTTGACTTCTGACAATTACCATTCAAATTCTACTTCTGAAATATATGTATTTGTGTCTCATGGTCCTGTTTATCAGATTACCATTGAACAAACAGAAGGTAAAATGTAAAAATGGCTACGTGTGTGTTGTCTGCGTTTTAGCCACCTGAGTGAAGATAGAGTTTATAGAGAGAGGAGCCACATCAATGTAGGCACTTTCAGTGGTTACCTCAAAGTTCCAGTAAAGATTGGTCACGTACTCATAGAGGACTCTGGCAAATTTTCACAGACAAGAAGAATATATGAACTCATTTTGCACATTTTTCAAGTAAAACACGCAAAACAGATGAACAGCACGGTTTTTTTTTTAGATCTTGTTCTAAATACATAATACCAACTGTGAATCAAACAACAACATGATTCTATGCCATGACAACTGCAGCCTTCTACAGCACTTTTATATTAAAATCATCTACATAACTAAAGGCATTCAACTGACAAAGGATCTCAACAAAATCATTTTTTTTACAAAATGTTGTCAAAGTTATACATTTCCACTCATCTGGGCTCTTCAGTGCTAACCACTGACCCTCAGGGGTAGATTACAGATTACAGATTAACATTACAGATTAGTTCATCTCTTTATTTCTGTTAAATGTGTCAGATAATAACATTTTCAATAGTGCAATCAATTGAAAACACAAACCGGAACAACCACATTGTTTATATTGTTAGCATCTGGCTAACTGAAGAATACACAGGGAAAATGCTAATATGGGGAGAGCTCATACATACATACTGTACATACGTACCCAATATACCAGTACCTTAACTAGTATTTTGACAGGGTTTGTGAGCTTCATGTTTGTTTGTTTTTTTTTTACTTCATGCAGATGCGAAAGAACGTGAGAGCAAAGAGCGGTAGAAAAAGAGCAGCTCACAAACAAGGTCTTTAAAGGGCCCTGGCTTCAATTAATCAATTAAGGAAAGAAAGAGAGGAATTTGCATATCCCCCTGCCACTGTGAGAGCCAAAGAGAGAGAGGAGGAGAGGAGGAGAGGTTGGACTGAATCTGTGGCCAGGAGCCCTGACATGGATGGGAAGGAAGGAGGGAGAGAGGGGTATTATCAAGGCAGAGCAAAAAATGAAGAGGCTGTTTGATGAAAGGCCTGTATGTAGGGAGGTGTGTGGAGTAACAAAACGAGAGTTTATATCTTAATATAAAACCAATAGAATGGTGGATTGACACTCAATTTCTGCAAAAAATTAGATAATTTAGGCCATTTATACTTTTCTTTTTTTTTATGATGCCGTGATGATGAAAAAACGGAAACCACTGAACCTAATCTTAAATAAGAACTCCCGTTGATATGTTTAGAAATGTTTAGTAGCTCAACACATGGCTGCGTTTGTTCTATTTACTAACAACACTGTGGCTTTCCACAGAAATTAGCTCAGTAACACCATGTGAGCACGATGAGGTGATGCTTACACCTGCTATGACTGGCAAGCCTGGGGAAATTCCCTGACAAATGTTGTGACGTTATTCATTTTTTCCCCTCCAGAACTTCTTTCTGGAGTGGCCATCATTTTCAGTCAAAAATGGAAAGAGAGAAATTAGGTTAGGACGGGAGGATGACAGGTTACTAGAGAACTTTCAAATCATTTATGAAGAATGATGACGCAATAATGTAATTTTTTATTGGCTCTACTAAAGTAAACACAACACTGAATCATCTAGAACAAAACTTTCCATATCATTTTTTTTAAGACAGTTTTACACGACTGGTGTACGACCGTCGTCAACTGCTTCTTGACGGCTGTTGATTTATTGTCACGCTAATACACTACATTTTAACAGTTAGTCTAACAAATGTTGCATAAGAGTTTCCAGAGTGACTTGTAAAAAAAGGTGACTCGTTGTTCTGACACACTCACAAGCAGTACAAAGTCAGGAGTGACATTAAAATTGGTCAAGGATGACAAACAGCCCTTGAGGTTGAACTTGAGGTTCTGATCTGATCTAGATGATCTATATCTGGATAAATCCCCATTGCACTGTTGTGAGGCCCCGTAAAGGTAGCTGCCCAAATTTCTGAAGTCAGCGGTTAGTGCCACACCTGCTTCTAAAGAATTAAGGCCGAGCCATGTTCTGCCTTTCTTTGTAGCAGTGCTAATTATAACAGCTAAACACAGAGCACAATACGGCTCCATAGCTAGGCTACAATACTACTGAGATACACACTTACATGACATCACGGGAATGCCAGAAAAATAATGAATATCTATTTAAGTACTTAATTAGAGAATTAGGGGATTCCCAAATGGCTGGCTGCACGATGGCAGCTCAAGTCTCATATTTAGAACTTTTTGAGTTTCTCAATAAAGGACTATATAAATAAAGCTCCTATTTGATCTTTTTTTAATTAAATTAAATTCTAAATTTCATTAAATGTTTTTTGTCTGTGTAGGTTCTCGGTCATCCAAGCTGTGAAGCCATATTGTGGTCTGTGTCATCCAAGAGGATTTTTCAGTTCTGAAGAAGCCTCTTGGATGAGTGATACAGTACGTATTCAAAAACCCTACTCCGTCCAGATGCCCTTAGTGTGACTATTTTTGGATTAAATTTTATTTTTTTATTTAAAAAAAATACTTATTCAAGATGGAATTCTATCAAACATACCTGGCCCCTCTGTAGACGAACTCCACTGTGGATGTAAATACAGCAAAAATATAGTAAGTGAAAACAACAGGTCATACTTAAGGTGATTAAAAGATTTATACAATAAAGCATAACACTTTTTTATTCATAATCAATTTCTGCCAATATTAATGATAATAATGTAAACTAGTGGTTCTTAAACTGTTTTTGTGTAGATTTTTTCAAGCTCCAAGGAAAAGCTTTAAAAATTACAATACAAATTTATTGAACTAACACCAAGTAATGCCATATTTTACATTTTATAAATCAAAAATCACTAACATCAAATAACACAAAGTAGTGCAATCATCACTTGAACCTTGAAATCTCCCCTCAGCCCCCATGTTCGTCACGCCCAACGTGTCATGTCTCCGTTCCCCACCAGTGGGGCCCACCCCACACTGGCGTAAACCAATGTCACCTTTATCTCAGTCAGGTCTGGTGTTTTCAGTCCTGAGATATCAAACACTGCTATACTGATATTCTGGAGTTCATATTAAACGCTCGTATTTAATGGGAATTGCATGAGATGATTATCGAGTGAAACAAAAAGTAATTTCTCTTTATGAGTCACACAGGAGTCACACACAAGTGCTGATGCTTGACATTAAGAATGTCAGTTATTTCTCCAACTTTCTGGGTGGAGTTTTGTTATCACTAATGTCCTGGGCTTTCCTCAGATGAAAACCTTCTCTTCCTCTTGAAATTTAACTTAACACTGAACACTCTGAACCAGGGGCTTCAGACTCAAACAGGCTGAGGGGCCACAGCTGTCATTTCATTTGAGGGACCAATCAGTCCAATAGGAAAGAAAAGGTTTTTTGTATTTTAAAATGACCAACTGAATACTTTAAATGAATGAAAAAAAGAAACGGTGAAAATATTTTTTTATTATATTAAGAAAAAATATTATTATTATTATTACTGATATCCAGACAAGGAGTTTGAAATCACTGCTCTTGACTTATCCTTGGTCCGAGTCTAAGTGTAAACACTATAGCAACAGTATAATAGAGTTGTCAGTGAGGAGAGTCAGTACTAATCAAAGACTATCCTCATTCCAATGATATTATTTTTTTATTACAGTATTGTATTTGACCATTTATAATTCTATTACACTGTTTCATAATGTTGTGGTCCAGAACACTAACTGAAGTGCTGTGGTTTGGTACTTGTGCTGGATGTACCTGTAACCACAGAGATGAGGTCACTTCCCACATTACATTTATTCATCAGGGTGGCCTCATGTGGGAGGGGTCTGTGCCCGCTTTTGGTGGATAAGTGTGTAGAATGACTTTTAGTCTGTGTGTGTGTGTGTGTGTGTGTGTGTGTGTGTGTGTGCTGTTGGCTATAAGAGCTACAAAAAACACACAGGTTAACAGAAGGGGATGTAAGTCCGGTCATTCAGGGAACTTGTCAGCAGTTCTCTGAACTCTGAGTATTTCCTGGTAACGTAATCACAACACAATTTCTTTGCGTTACGCTGAGCACAGTTTTGTTCCCAGTAGAAGTTGTGGATAAAATCTAAATTACGCAATCAGACTTTTTAAAAATTAAATACTCACTAAACCACTATCAGCAGGAGGAATGTGCCCCACAGCGTTAAGGTTATCGTGTGTTAATGCATGTGTTGCTGCTGACTGTTGTGAAATAGAGTCGGGCATTGCCAAACGGAGTTCTTGGTCTGAAGAGGAAGCCTTAATCAAAGCACACAAAAAAGACATCTCCCAGATTTTCTTTGAATGTAAAAGCACTGAAGGTTTCTAATATTTACCTGTGTTTTCACCTTCAGTGGTGGAGGGGTTTGTTTCTACATCAACCTGAGCTCTCACTCCACCTTTATTCCGGGGTGTGGCCCATAGTAAGATTACCTTATTCTGCATCTAAACAGAGCCACTGAATCCAGGTTCCTCTTCACTGAACACACAGCTGTTTCCAGTGTCATACACATTTGTAGTTTTACATTAAATTCTACACATTCTACATTGTTATGATTAGCACTGGTATCTGCAACCTTCGCCATCATTTCATTTATAGCTTCCATACAAAGATTTTACCAATTTTTTACGTTAAGTTGAAAAAGCTCTGAAGGAAAGGTCTTTTATTTAATTGTTTGGTGATCTCAGAGTTTCTACTGTATGTCAGCCAGAAAGTGTGTTGCTTTGTCTGAACTGTTGAAATGAACTGAGAAACACATCAGTGACGTCATCACAATGTGATGTAAGAGTGTACTTTTTTCAAGCGTCTTTTTGTTCTGACTTTTAAATTCAGAATTTTAATAAAATTCAGTCAAAATCATGTTACTTTAGGGCTGGTGATGACTCAAATTGTTCATCATGATTTATTGCAACATTTTCTGTGACTAATTATGAACAAATTATGTGTGTGCAAAAAATATTCATAAATTGATTAAATATTTGTTCATTTAAGTATTCCTTAACTGATATTTGAACAAACATGCAACAACACTTTTGTTTCCAAGCGTTTTAAAAGAATGAGATTATTTTTATTAGCAGTCAACTCTTCACAATCGCTTTGAATATTCTGTAAATTCTAATTCAAACATATGTAAATGTAATTAAATAATAATAATGATAATAATAATAACAACAACAACAATAATAATAATAATAATAGAGTTCCCTATTCATCCCACAATGCAGATACTCACAGTTTGAGTCTTGCAACCCCAGTAGTGCCACTTTGACTTAAACCAAATACCTTCTGTGTATAAGGCAGGTGTGTTAACCGCAGCACTACAGAACCACAAGAAGTCAAACATAAAACCAAAGCTATTCCTCACTGCCTCTTGAATCAATGGTTTATCAGGGGTTCTTCACAAAAACGACACTGTTCCAGGCACCGTATCAACCATGAACAGTTAGCAGCTGTAACTGTTTGTTATGGAAATATGTTTTTTGATACACCTGATTGGCTTCACAGACAAGGCAGCAGGTTGTCCGTTACTACAACTACACCTTCAGTACTACAAATGCAGCAGCCAGGTATCTCAACCATGATCTGGGAGGCCAGACCTGAGATGTGGGTCTGCTCCATGTGCCAAATAACGATGTGTTTTATTACGGTCTCTGCTTGTTTTGACAACTGTGCGGTTGTTTTATTGATGGTTCAAGCGCTTGCAACGCTGCAGTGCATCTTATCAGATGCAGCTAGAAGCTGCATTTCCACAGAAGCTGAAACTGACCCGCACTCTCTCACCACACTCTGCTCTACATTTTTTAGAAAAGGATCATGCTCTCTCACCCTCTCTCACGTTTGCTCCCTTTCAGGAAACCCAGTGAGAGCCCTGGCGTGCTGAAGAGCAGTAAGCTTGTCCAGAGAAGAAGGAATACATGTCCCAGTCCTCAGGACATTGACCGGGCATTGCAGAAACCCAGCTCTCCCCCCAGCTCCAGTGCTGTCAGTCTAGATGAGCTCATTCAGCGCTGCCTGAACTGTTTTGGTCAGTTGGTTTTTCACTGTGTATTTTCATCAGTTCCTAAAAGTTTGGCAAGGCTTCTGCACTCTTTATTATTACCAGGGTTTGTAAATGTGGGACAAGAGGGTGTTCTGGGTTAACACAGGGTGAGAGAGACTGACTGGGAGGGAGGAAGAGAAACAAAGGCCTGTCCCATACAATCATGCTTTGTTCCGTTTGGCTGCAGAGGCCAACTTGCTATTCCCAGACACTGCTTCACTCAACGAGTTCCTATCCCTCTCTTCATCACCATCACAAAAACCTGTCTGTAGTGTTGACTACAACACTGGGTTTTTAGAAACAACACACCACCAGACGTCATGACTTGATTGGTTTAAAGATTCCACCACTGTGATGTGATCTTATGACAGCGACACAAACCAATCAAACAAAATGAAATTAGCATTAGTGTTCAAATGAAAGCCACTAGTATAGTACTTTATTCATCCTCTACAGCAGTGGTTCTCCATCTTTTTCTACTCTGTACCACCAGAGAAAACACTGAGCTCTCAGAGTACCACCATGATGACCAACATCAGAATACAGCAGCAGAGGCCTTCACTGTTAGCTTCCACCACAGGAGAGATGTTCATAAATGTTTATGTTTAAATGTTGTATTTATGTTGTATATGTTTCAGATTTATTCAATTGAAAATGCAAATGGGAAAATATGAATTTTCCCCGTGTACCACTAGGGAGCGATCCCGTACCATTGGTGGTACGCGTACCACAGTTTGAGAACCAGTGCTCTACAGCTTCATTGGTCACACGGGGGAAATCCCATCAGTCAGTGGGTGAGGGTGGGGTCCACCCATCACAGGTCCACATATGGCAACCTTTCACACTCAAAGTGAAACCAGCGTTCACTGGGAGAACAAACTTCAGACATCAGATGGGATTCAAACACCTCACGTGCCACCCAAACCCAATGCTAAATAGCAGGCACTGTTGCTCCTATAATCAAAGACCATCCAGCCACTGTGTAGTAGGAATTTCTTGTCATGCACATGGCATTTGGAAAAGTGTTTAATCATCCAATAAGACCAGAGTTTAACATATTAATCTAAAAGGAATGTTTGACACAACAACATCACAACATTACCCAGAAAACCCCAAACCCACTGTGCAGCATCGTGTTCTTCATCAATATTTGTACAGTTACGTTTCCCTCTTCCTGTTAACATGCTTCATTTCCTGTTTTATTATGTTAATCAAATCTTGTTTTGTCTTTTCTGCCCTCCTGTATATCCTGCTTCTGTGGTTACCTGCTCTGTCCCTGCTGCATCTGTCCTCATGTATTTCTTCTGTTTCCTGTATCCTGTGCGTCCTCACTGACTCTTTTAAATCTTTTCCTTAATGTGTCAATGGGTCAGGCATTTGAGTCCATTCCAGTCTCTTCGTGATCATAAAATATTGAACCAAACTGCAGGCTCACATTTGTTAAGGTGAGAAACAGAGCCACCTGATGATTAAAATAAATATTGCACAAAATTTAACCCAAAGCAGACTACATGAGGAGATTAAAATCCTGACCTGCTCAAAGAGGGTGAAGTAAGTTGAACTGATTTGAACTGGCTGACGACCAAGGCAAATTTGCAGCCCACGGCTTCTGTTGTTTGTTGTTGTTTGACCAAATCTAATCCTGGATTTGCTGCTATGTCGTCCTCACAGATTCTGAGGGGAAGCTGATCAGCCTCCGAGGCTCCCAGCTGGTCAACATGATGCTGATGATGCACAGCTGGGTGGTGCCATCTCAGACGTTTGCCCAGAAACTTCTCACTCTATATCCTCTACCCCAGAGTGATGCATGGCTTTGGTCCAATTCTTGCCGACCACATGCCCAGTGGTCAATAATCAGATCAGGAACCAGTCATGTGTTGTTCTGCCGACGCAGATTTGAAGCATAGTAGTGTATGTGTTGCTGATTGTGTTTAGAATTGTTGAGTGCTGTTTCTGCACAGTGTGTTGACCAGGGGTGTAAAACATATTGTCCGTGGGCCAAAACTAGCACGCTTGGGGTTTCAATCTGGCCCCCTTGATTTTTGTAAATATGTTATGGTTGTTCTGGTTCCGGCTTTTAATTAGGTCTTATGTGGCCCCTTAAACTAAAATGAGTTTGACACCCCCTGGTGTAGACGGTACCAGTCCTTGACTTCCTCACTTATAAAGATTCTCCTCTGGACAAGAGAGGACTGAGGCGGCCACAGATCTGCCACCTTGTCAGGTGAGTGAGGACAGCGGTCACGTGAGCGAGTTGTTTCACACACTCTGTGACAGAACTGGTTATCCTGCTCTATTTGTGAGAAGTAAACAAAGACTCTGTCCTACTTGGTGGCAAGGCAGTGGATCAGCCAGTTCCCGGCTGTGTTTGAGGCAGACCCTGACCTGGAGCAGGTGATGGGGGACCTGTGGGCGCTGGTTCGATCAGATGGAGGAGAGAGTCATTCACAGCTCAACGACACCTCCTGCCTGTAAGACGTTTTTGGTTTGACTGTCTGTCATGAAGGAAAGCGACGAAATCATTTCCATGAATACAAAACCACTCCCTCTTTCCTGATATCTTTTCCCAGAAGCCCTCATGTGAACGCATTACAGGCACCCTCACCGTCTGTGAAAAAAAGAAAGGTGTCTTTAATCTTTGACCACATGGAGCCAGATGAAATGGCCGAGCATCTCAGCTACCTGGAATTCAAGAACTTCTGTAACGTTTCTGTACGTTCATCAATTTCTACGTTCCATTTTCTTCAGACGTTGATAGCTGGTTTCTACAAAATTAATGAAAGATATTGTTGCAGTTGCTTTTCCTGGCTACTAAACTACTTCACAGGCAGTCGTTCAACAGAGCTGCAGCTCTGACGTATAACAGTGATCTGAGTTATAAAGATGGTGTTCACCTACAGTTGTTATAAGGAGAAGCTGCCCGGGCTGTGAACTTTGTTTCAGCCTGAGGTTGTGATACTCATGTATGAAACGATCTGAAATTTCCACTTCCAAACAAGTTCAAAGTGAACGCTGCACCAGTGTCATCACTGGGTTACTGAGGTTTTGAAGCATTCAAAGATAAAATCATGAAAGTGACTGAATCAGAATCTAATAAAGAACCAGCACATTTAGGAACACAATTGTTCAGCGCTTCACCCAAACCACCCCATACTGTATAAACAGTTACATTTCAGATGATCTTATCTGAACATTGTCGTTCTAACCCAGGCGTGAGCAAACCAATTGACTCGTGGGCCACAATTGTCCTAAAATTGAACAGAGGAGCCGGGTCAGGAGCAGACAGATGGAGCGTTCGTGTGAACTAAAATGACATGTAAAAGTCATGCATAAAGGATAATCATTCTCTACGCCATCTGTTGGGGAAACATTGGTATCACATGTACTACAGTGATAAGGCAGACGTGTAATGATAATATAAATAAAGATTAAAAAGCTGAACAGGCAGCATCCGGCCCCCGGGCCTTAGTTTGCCCATGCCTGTTCTAACCTCATATTTTCTCATCTCATGTACTACATGGAAACCTCACCTTCAATTACATTCATCACATCACATCTCAACTCAACTCATCTCACATCTTATGTCGAAGCATGACAGGGTCATATGTTGGATTCAGTTACCTTTTGACCTTTTGACCTTTTTGACCAGTCTTTTCCAGCCCTGACCTGTTCTTTTTGGTTGTCCAGTTCCTGGACTATCGCAGCTACGTGGTGCGTGGCTCAGTGAGGGACAACCCTGCTCTGGAGCGATCGGTCATGATGTGTAACGGAGTCTCTCAGTGGGTTCAGCTGATGATCCTGAGCAGACACACGGCCCAGCAGAGAGCTCAGGTCTTCACCAAGTTCATTCATGTGGCTCAGGTAACTGTCGTGGGATCACTTGGAATTCCTGTTGGTTCTTGTGTCTTAATGACATGTTGTGGGGGGTTTTTCTGCTTTACAGAAACTTCGAGCTCTGCAGAACTTTAACACTCTAATGGCAGTAACTGGAGGCCTCTGTCACAGCTCCATCTCCCGCCTCAAAGACACGTCCAACCTGCTGCCCCCTGACGTCACTAAGGTACTTCAAATGTAGTAGATAGCAGCGTGTTGTTATTTATTCCACAGAGAAAGAGGGAACTTTAAGACAAAACAAGTAATAAAACAAACACTGCACTGTTGTAAAATGAGCTCATATCCAAACAAACAAATCTGGAGCCTGATTTATCTCTAGAATTTACATTCTTTAAAATAATTTCATCTCCAAAGCACAACATAACATGACATATTGACATATTTTTATTTTTGAATGAACCAAAAGAGAAAACGTCCTCAAAATATTACATTATGACATGACAGTAAATGAGCTTTGGAACTGTGTTGAATTCAAACACGTGTCATTCGTTCTCCGTCAGGCCCTCAGTGAGATGACGGAGCTGCTCTCCTCCTGCAGCAACTACAGCAACTACCGCAGGGTTTACAACGAGTGCAGCGGCTTCAAGGTGCCCATCCTGGGTGTCCACCTGAAGGACCTGATCTCCCTGAACGAGGCTTTGCCAGACTTTATCGAGGGAGACAAGATCAACCTGGGCAAGCTGCAGCACCTGTACAGCAACATCAACGACCTGCTGGCCATTCACAACAGCACGCCGCCCTTTGAGGCCAACAAAGACCTCCTGCACCTGCTCACGGTATGACGCTGAAACAAGAACTGTGCCTCAGATGAAACTCCACTGCGGTACAAAAAACATGCTCAATTTTCACTTCGACTGTTTCAGCTCTCTCTAGATCTGTACTACACTGAGGATGAGATATATGAACTTTCATATAGCAAGGAACCCAAAAACCCTAAGATCCAGGTCAGTCACAACATGAGCGAAGCTTAATCTAACGCCATCAGTTTTACGCTAGTGTTAACCTTTTGACTAGAGGAGGGACATTTTTTCATCTCATTCTGTGGGTGTGATGTCACAGGCCGAGTGCTGAACTATATCAAAGTGAACCACATCAAAGGGCTGTACGTTGGAGAAGTGTGTGGTGTGGTGGGTGTGCACTTCTCTGCACTTTTTTTTCTTTAAATGTTCTGTTTTCTTTTTTTCATCACTAGCCTGTAGCACCCGTTAAACCGCCGGTAGTGGCAGAGTGGGGGTCAGGGGTCACCCCTAGGCGTGACCCCGACACCATATCTAGACACGTTAAACAGATGGTGGATGTGAGTATAGAACAGCACACTACTACACTACGACAACCCTCAGTCTTTCACTTCCTTATAGACTCAAACACAGCCAACCGCTTATCATAGAGAAAACTAACTCATCTGGTCACTCTGTTGCCCCCTGCAGTCCATCATGATAAATTATGACCAGAACCAAGACGGCTACATTTCATTGGAGGACTTTGAGAAGATATCGGCTAACTTCCCCTTCTCCTTCTGCACTCACGAAACTGACAGGTAAAGGCAGCTGCTCCCTGAACCGAGGCCTCTCACGATCACACTGCTGTGAAACACACAAACTAACATGAGCTGTTAGTTTGTTCAGTCTAGCCCTCTGCTTACTCTGGAACATTCTGTGCTCAGGGAAGGACAAATCAGCCATGAGGAAATCACCTCTTACTTCATGAGGGGAATGTCTATTTGCGCCAAGTTGGGCTACAACTTCAAAGATGCGCACAAATTCCACGAAACTACGTACAAGCGACCCACATTCTGCGACACATGCAGAGGCTTTGTTAGTAACCTTTTTATTTTCATTAAAGTGTCAAGGTTGTTTTTACATTTAAACTATAACCTGTCCTGTCTGTCCTCTGTAGCTGTGGGGGGTCATCAAACAGGGCTACCACTGCAAAGGTAAGACAAGACGAAGACTGGATTGAGAAACTTCCTGTTTACACTACCGTCAGCAAAGATCAGCATTAACACCACAGCAAACTTTTATTGCAGTTACAAAGGCCAAAGATTCAAAAAAAATGTGTTTATATATAACAGTTACAAAGTTCATCTGTCGACTACTTTAAATATTAAAAATAGTTTAAGAACCAAAGTACCAATTTTTCTAAATGTCATGTTTTGATAATTGTCCTTCACTACAAAGAATGCATTCAGGTGTGTGTTTTTTTAACATTGACAAACGTCCGTCCTACAGGCTGTGGTCTCAACTGTCACAAGCAGTGCAGGGATCTGGTGGGAATGGAGTGTTTAAAGAAACACAAAAACACAAGTGGATCCTGCCCATGCACCCCAGCCCCCGACTCCAAAACCAAGGGAAACGGCTGTAGTAAGTCCCGTCTCTGTCACAGGCACTACACACACACACACACACAAACAACAACACAATCCACACACTAATGCTAATCTTTCTCGGTCAGACTCGGAGGAGGAGACCTTCGTCTTCCCCCAAAGTAATGAGTCAGAGCACAACAAGGGAACTCCAGTCTGTAAAAACAGCCCCAGTGACTCAACGCTGTCCGACCGCTCCACTCAGACCGACCCAGGAGTGTGGACGCCTCAGAAGAAGGACAAGAGGGGAAACATCCACAACTCGCTTCTGTATGGAGCTGCAGACAGAAAGGTGAGACAGGTTCTCAACCTGACCCAACCTGACCCAGGGGGTCAAACTCATTTTGGCTCAGGGGCCACACTCACCCTGATTAGATGTCAAATGGACCAGACCAGTACAATCATAACATAATTACCTATAAGTAATTACCTTTAAGAGTACCGTGTACTCCGGTTGCCAAACAACGGCATTTTGTTGCCAGACTTACTGTTTTTTGTGTTTCTGTGCAATGACAATAAAAAAAGTCTAAGTCTAAGTAAGTTTTTCTCAATTTTTTCATGCAAATACATTGGCATAAAAGTTTGCAAGTTTATTTGAAAATTCATTAATTAAAAATGAATTAAATACAATCTGACAAAACATCACAAACATTAAGTGGGCCAGATTGAATCCCCGGGCAGGCTGGTTTAACATCCCAGATCTAGACTCTGTTGGTTGGAGAGTTACGTCATTTAACACTGTATCCAAGCAATTCTTCACAACGGAACAACAACGGTGTCTTTGCCATCAGCTGCAGAGAAAGCCTAATGTGTGTTTTCTGTTTTCCTAGGTCAACACCTTGCCTTCCAGAACCCGAGGCTGCTCCATGCCCGTCTCCTTCCTGCAGGAGAAGATGGAGGAGCTGCATCTCTACAAGGACAAGAGCAGAGAGCCAGACTGACTTCTACGCCTTTGTATTTTTGCCTGAACACAGACAATAACACTGTCTAAGACACATCAGCTGTGTCTGACTGGTGCTGAACTGCCTACATGTACAGACCTTCACCTCCACGTGTCAAAAACGGACTCCTTTATTGTGTGTTCGTGGTGCGTTCTTATTTGCCTTCATCTGATTCTGAATCTTTGATTGGCTTCTAGTACAACACCCTCCCCTGCTTCCAACATCCACCTGGATTGTAATTTGTGGACGCCGCACTTTGCCTCGGTTCTCTGATGCTAAAATTAAACACATGGTCAAACCAGGTACAATATGATAACCTACAGACAGAGTCAGTCTGACTCACAGTCCCACGAAGTCCATTAAATACAGGGTATGAAATTAACACTAACTTGAACAATACTCATTTTCTCATTTCACTGGCAGCTACAGTGTGACTCGTATGACAACCGTGTTTGTTTGAATTTGCTGTGGATATAAAAAGACGACTGTACATTTAGGTCTACACACTAATGCTAATCTTTCTCGGTCAGACTCGGAGGAGGAGACCTTCGTCTTCCCCCAAAGTAATGAGTCAGAGCACAACAAGGGAACTCCAGTCTGTAAAAACAGCCCCAGTGACTCAACGCTGTCCGACCGCTCCACTCAGACCGACCCAGGAGTGTGGACGCCTCAGAAGAAGGACAAGAGGGGAAACATCCACAACTCGCTTCTGTATGGAGCTGCAGACAGAAAGGTGAGACAGGTTCTCAACCTGACCCAACCTGACCCAGGGGGTCAAACTCATTTTGGCTCAGGGGCCACACTCACCCTGATTAGATGTCAAATGGACCAGACCAGTACAATCATAACATAATTACCTATAAGTAATTACCTTTAAGAGTACCGTGTACTCCGGTTGCCAAACAACGGCATTTTGTTGCCAGACTTACTGTTTTTTGTGTTTCTGTGCAATGACAATAAAAAAAGTCTAAGTCTAAGTAAGTTTTTCTCAATTTTTTCATGCAAATACATTGGCAAAGTAAGTTCAATTTTTTCATGCAAATACATTGGCATAAAAGTTTGCAAGTTTATTTGAAAATTCATTAATTAAAAATTAATTAAATACAATCTGACAAAACATCACAAACATTAAGTGGGCCAGATTGAATCCCCCGGCAGGCTGGTTTGACATCCCAGATCTAGACTCTGTTGGTTGGAGAGTTACGTCATTTAACACTGTATCCAAGCAATTCTTCACAACGGAACAACAACGGTGTCTTTGCCATCAGCTGCAGAGAAAGCCTAATGTGTGTTTTCTGTTTTCCTAGGTCAACACCTTGCCTTCCAGAACCCGAGGCTGCTCCATGCCCGTCTCCTTCCTGCAGGAGAAGATGGAGGAGCTGCATCTCTACAAGGACAAGAGCAGAGAGCCAGACTGACTTCTACGCCTTTGTATTTTTGCCTGAACACAGACAATAACACTGTCTAAGACACATCAGCTGTGTCTGACTGGTGCTGAACTGCCTACATGTACAGACCTTCACCTCCACGTGTCAAAAACGGACTCCTTTATTGTGTGTTCGTGGTGCGTTCTTATTTGCCTTCATCTGATTCTGAATCTTTGATTGGCTTCTAGTACAACACCCTCCCCTGCTTCCAACATCCACCTGGATTGTAATTTGTGGACGCCGCACTTTGCCTCGGTTCTCTGATGCTAAAATTAAACACATGGTCAAACCAGGTACAATATGATAACCTACAGACAGAGTCAGTCTGACTCACAGTCCCACGAAGTCCATTAAATACAGGGTATGAAATTAACACTAACTTGAACAATACTCATTTTCTCATTTCACTGGCAGCTACAGTGTGACTCGTATGACAACCGTGTTTGTTTGAATTTGCTGTGGATATAAAAAGACGACTGTACATTTAGGTCTAGCTATTCACTGCCCTACTGGAACGACACGTGGTCTAATATTTTAGACTCTCTTACTGTTTAAACAATGTTGACATTTTTTTCTAAGCAGAATTCCATAAGAATTCACCAAGTGCTGTATTGTTGATGGGCGAGTTGTTCCAAACACTTCCACAGAGATGAGGTCTGGACTCTGTGCTAGCTGATCCAGGTGCAACAAATCTCACTCGAACCTCCTGCATTATTTTGTGACATTTGAAGACAGATGAAAAGTTGTTGTCATTTAGGAAATGATTGATCAACCTAGATCAAGCCGACAGAAAGACTATCATTCTGGATTTTAAATATGAACTTGTCCGTGTAGGTTCTCAGTCATCCAGGTCATTTAATCCAAAGAAAAGTTAAATGGAAAGCAACTAGACAAAGTAGGTTTTTTGAAGACGTTTCACCTCTCATCCAAGAGGCTTCTTCAGTTCTGGAACTGTTCTTCAGCCTCTTGGTTGAGTTGTCTTCAAAAAACCTACTTTGTCCTGTTGCTTTCAATGTAACTATTTTTTGGATAAATATGAACTTATTTTAAATTTGTTTTGTCATTTGCTCCAGTCCAGTCTTAACCCCTTTTTGATATATTTTTTTTGATCTGGTCAATCTTTCTCTTAAGGCCACACAGTAATGCTGTTTCCCATTTTAGGTCTGTATTGCTCTTTCTACGAAGATTAAACACCCTTCAGTTCTATTGTTGACCTTTCTGACCTTCTCATCTTTTCCACAACCAAGAGGAATGATGTTTAGATGAAACAATAAACTATTGCGGTCATTTTTTGATAGTGGTTAGAAGGGGTATGGACTAGAAGGTTTGGTGAATAATTAGGTGAGCAACTTTTTTTAAATTAACATAACTTTGATATTTTAAGTATGGAATTCAAGAAAAGGTTTAATAACATTTCTATCTAAAGTATGTAAAATGCTGCATTTCACAAAATTAAAGCCAAGGATCCACATTTGAAATTTACAAACTGTATAATATACAGCAGGTCGTATGAATCTACAGTCATTGTTACGTCAAATGCCAAGAAATAGTCAAGAGACTATTTCTACAAATATTGTTTTCCATTATGAATACTTAAAATTTCATTTGGTTTACTCTAGGGCCCCCTTGGGGGGTATGAAGTCATTGCAGGGGGACCTCAGCAAGTCATATGAATATGTTAGTATTAATTCTTAAGAATTCTTAGGGATCAGGGTCTTAGTTTTGAAGTAATATAAACAGTGAAAGAAAAGGACAAGATGAATGTTTATAATTGCATTTATTGTATAAACACAAAAAAAACACTTAATAACTGATCATTTTCAGGTAGAAAAAAAATGTTTTACAGGGATTCACTACTAGACACAATCACAATGATTAAAAAAACAAAACAAAGAAAATTGGTACAACTACTCAACAAGAGTGGCAAAATCCTTTTCAATTAGACTGTCATTGTTTAAATACTACGGTATTATCTGCTATAAAAATGTTCCATATTGGAAGTTGTGAGTAAATAAAATGATCTCATTCTGTAACTGAAAAGAAAAGAAGGCATTTAGCGGGAGAGGAGCCACGTGGATAAAAAGCATGCTTTATGTCATTGTTAAGCTTTTAGAAAATCAAGAATTGATTGAAGATTTGCTTTGTTTCTTCTGCCCTGTCACTTTGCACACTCGACGTCCCAGAAATACACAAATAACCTCTGTATCTTTAAGTTAACATTGTTAACTTTAAACAGATATCCACATTTGATGCATAAATGGAAACATTCATAAATGTTTTCATACCTATAATCTACCAACTCACGGTCACTGCTTTAAGACTTGGAAGTAATTATAATAATAATAAAAAACCATAGATGGGACATTAAGCCGTATACAGTTGTTGTATACACTAGTGAGGATACTGTGTTAAAACCAAACAGTTGCAGTTGATGACTTTAGGTGCAACTGTACAAAAATTATTTGGACTGCAGAGGTCAGAGGAGTTTAGGACACAGGTGGAAGCAGGTATAGATGCCTTACAACGCTACTGAGAACCAGAGGATGCGCCGTGGCTGCCCTGTCCAGGGTAACCACCGTACTGGCTGTAGTACTGATTCCATTGGTTCTGGTTCTGGTAGTACTGCTGCCACTGCTGGGCGTACTGGAAGGGAGAAACAAGGAACAACCAATAAGAGCATGACAACAAAACCATAACTTTTGATTTCAACCAGCTGCTTTGGACATAATGAGCCATTTTAAAACAACGGTCTTATTTCCACCAGTTTAATGTAAATAATAAAACAACGGTCTTATTTCCACCAGTTTACTTCGACCCCGTCATATTCTTTATTAGTAGCTTTCAAATCAAGATTCAAAAATAGGCAGGGAGTCTGCAAACAGCGTTTAATCATTTTAACCACTAATTAAAATTGATCAGGAGCTACATAAACAATTATTGTGTTTAAAATCTGTAGTGTGGTGTTACTGCTGACTTATTATCTTCTCTGTACCTGCTGATACTGCTGGTTGTAGCTTTGTTGCTGCTGCTGTTGTTGTGCCGGCTGCTGCTGCTGCTGTTGGTGTTGTTGTTGTGCCGGCTGCTGCTGCTGCTGTTGTTGTTGTTGTTGTTGTGCCGGCTGCTGCTGTTGTTGTTGTTGTTGTGCCGGCTGCTGCTGCTGTTGGTGTTGTTGTTGTGCCGGCTGCTGCTGTTGTTGTTTTTGTTGTGCCGGCTGCTGCTGTTGTTGTTGTTGTTGTTGTTGTTGTTGTGCCGGCTGCTGCTGCTGCTGTTGTTGTTTTTGTTGTGCCGGCTGCTGCTGTTGTTGTGCCGGCTGCTGCTGTTGCTGCTGTGGCTGTTGCTGGTGGTGACTGTACGTCTGTCCAGTGGCAGGAGGCTGACTGTAGCTCTGACTATACCCTGGGTACTGACTGTAGTTGCCATAGTAGCTCTGGTTGTAGTTGCCATGGTTGTAGCCTGGACTGTAGCTTTGGCTGTAGCCCTGAAAGGAACGCAAACATGTTTAGAAAACACGTGAACATTTGATTTGTAAAATTATTGAACCACTTCGGAGGAAAGCTATGTCCACATACCTGACCATATCCTCCCTTATAAGAGGACGGGCGATTGTAGCTTCCTCCGCTTGATTGGTTGCGGTTGTATGAGCTACGTGCATCTGATCCAGAGTCTCTGTAGTTGCCCCAACGATTTTGGCTGTAGTTGCCACGACTGTAACCTGTAACCAAAGTAATGTTGAAATGTAAAAGCTGTTGGATTTGACCAATTTCTGTGAAGCATGAAACCTATCTCTGAAATAATAAGTCAAACCATTTGTATTTTCAAAAGATATATAAAGGTAAGAGTAAAAACACCCCCAACACGTACCTCCTCTGTAACCACCACCTCCATCGCTGGAACGACTTTGGTAACTACCGCGGTTATCACGGTTATCATATCGTTGGTAGCCACCCGTCGGTCCACCGCGGCCACGGAATCCTCCCTGTCTATTGTCAAAGCGTTTTTCGGGTGGTGGTCCTGCCTTGCGACCCTCCTCATTGTACTGCTTCAGCAGCTTCTCGGCTTCATCTTGTTGCAAGTCAACGTACGTCACAGCCTCCAGGAAGTCGCATGGCTCGGGCAGAGTGAAGTTGGCTGGGAGAGTGGAAGTGGAGTCCACGGGATGAGGAGGACAGGAAGGGAGAGATAGCCCAGCCAACAAGAAAGGAATGAAGAGAAAGAGAGGGACCGGTGATTTGAAGGTGAAGACCAGAGGAGCCACACCACCGGAAAACAAAATGAAATATAATTAGCATCAAACAAATATGGTGGAAAATACAGAGAAACTTTGAGCAGAAGAATTATTACAAAAGCTAAGTCAGGCTAAATAACAAAACATCAGCTCCAGGGGAAGATGGAGGCAACATTGGTTTAAAACAGACGTGGGGGAGGGAGGACTTGAGAAGAAGTGGAGTGAGGAGAAGGACAACTAAAAGGTTGGTGAGAGGGGAAACTGCACTGCAAACCAAGGAGAACTGATGTAACGTTATTACACATTAACTTCCAACGTCGGCATGTGACTGCCTGTAAGCTTAAACATTTGGAAATTTCCTTTTCAGGGAAACCAACTGTGCAATGTTTTTTTTTCTACTGAGGTGACGCGAAAGCCCCAGGGCTGCAGTCTCAGTTTGCAGTGCATTAACAGTTTAATTTTCAGAGTGGCATATAAGGGAAAAAACAAGATGAAGCCAAATCATGAGGGTTTGTTTAAAAATTTGATATCTGGTCAAAGCTATGATAGGGTAAGGGTAGGGGACATCTTCCAAGATTGTTTGAGACAACACAGAAAAATTATATATTTTTTAAAAAAAAAGGTAGATCTGGTGTTTTATTTGTTGTTTCCACAGCATTCCTACCTTTCATTTCTAAAACAGCATGATCGGGCACATCCTTCCCCTGCTCATTGGTTTGCTTTAATGTTCGTTCTTTAAATTCCTCGTCCGTGGGACAAATTACAATAGCCTTGCGTTGAAAACCTTCAAAAGGACGCATTTTTCGTCTCCTTGCTGATCCATATACATTTGTCTAGCAATGGTGACAAGAAAGAGGTAGAAGCTTGTTTGTTATTGTTTACTTGTAGTAGCTTTCCACTGGAAGGAAGCTGGAACCCTGTAATAATGAAGTGAGAGAGGTTTGGCTTGGTGGTCAGTCTAGGTTTTTTGGTTTGCTCTGGTGCTAAAGGCCTCTCTTCACTCCACAGACCTACCTGTGTGTCAGTGCCTCTGCAGACTGGTAGCTGCAGATGTTCCGCAGATTTGGACTTAGAGGGACCCCCCCTCCTCTGCCCCCCCCCTAAAAAATAACTGAGCTGGCTTAGTTTAATAACTTTCTATTATATATAAGAATATATTATTTTAGCATGTAGTTTTACTTATGTTAAGTAGGAAAAAGACTGTTTCTTACTAAAAACGATGCTATTTTTAAGTATAATGCTGTATTTGTTAAATTGTTATACATTAGCCAAATTATAGCAATATTTTAGACCGTATGGCAAAAAGTTAAGGACATAAAAATGCTGAATTGAATGGCTGCAAAAGGAAAATAGATTTTTGTTTGCTGGTTGGTAACTTTTAAAGGAATCATTAATACGACGTCTGTTTTATCATGACAATCTAGACAATCTCTAATCCCTCTTCCGTTAATAGGACAATTGTTTTTAGTTAAGCAAAGGGCAATCTCTATGGAAAAAAGGCTCTATGGAAAAAAAGAGTTGAAGAGTTGAGTTGAAGACTTGTACGCAATAATCTAGAAATATACTGGTAAGAAAATTACCTGAAAACTTTGTTTTTCACGTTTCATGTTACCAATACATCTATAGAAAAACTGTGTTAATGCACGCTTAGGAAAGAAAATCTAATGCACTGGTACAAGTGCACTAATAGGAGTATCAATATGTGTGATACGTAGTACTTAAAGGGATAACTGTTGCCGTCACATATCGGAGTGTCTTAAAAGAATAACGTCTGGGAAAGCACAGATAAAAATAATGTTGGTATTAAGCAGCACAAAAATCAGTGGAACTGATTTAGCAAATAATAAAAACACGAAGATAAACGCATTACGTAGTAGTTACAAGACTGCGGAGAAATACAGCGAGCAGATTAAAACATGGCGCCCAAAGACAAGTCGCTTTTAGGTTGTGTAGAAGAGACAGCTTCTGAAAACTCATCGCATTTCTAGCTCAAGCTCAAGCTACCAAAGCGGAAATAACGATAGTGCAGCAAAACTGAGGCAGGCTATATGTTAACATTAATTATTTCATGTGAACAGAAACCTATGAGCCCACTCAGCCATTCAACCCATTCAGTATTCACTATTCAGTTAACATTCAGGTGTCCTAAGTTCCAGAATCTGTCTAGAGATACTGGCAGCTTGAAAACGGTTCTGATTTCCAACAGTTATTAGAGTTAAGGAAAATATTTTATATATTTCAGACTGTAGAGCTAGTATTTAGAAAATCTCAAAAACTGAACTGTATCAACCAGAAATAATTTAGATTTTTTTTAATCAGGTATTTTGACAGATTTCTTTACTAAACCCTCATCCAATAAAAAAATGTAATTTTATTGCAACTAAATTGTACAAATATGCTAAATGGCTAACTAAGTCAATATGGAAATTTACTTTCTTCTCTAATGGGTCCCTCGTAGACTTACCTTTACTTACCTCACCTACAGATGACCAGTCCCTTGCAAGACAACAGACAGAAAAAACCTACCTGCTCATACTTACAGAATCCACTGATCAGACCAACACCAGACCCACTTACCTTAACTCAATTTGGCTGACCACAACGATCTGAAAATCTAGAGCTGGTTAGTCATTACTTACCTTCACGGTCAATTTATTTAAAACACACACTCAAAAGTTCCAAGTATCTCACTTCAAAATAGCTTTTTAAAAAAGCTACCGACTGTCTTAGTAGAATTAGCAACAGAAGGTGTTTTCTTACTCACCAACCAGAGCTTACTTGTTTCTCAACATCTTTACATTGTCATGGTTTACTTGTACATTGTTGAAATTCACAAGACAAACAACGCTGTATTATGACAAATAATAGCAAGTGCAGATAAACTCAGGGATGACAACATGGGATATTCTGTCACTTACTGGTGCTAATCATAATTATCTTTAAACAGTACATGGAAAGCATAAGACATTAGAGCGTTCAATGCTTCTTCTACTCTACAATACACAGAGCCAGCCTGAAAGATAAATAAATATTCCATTAGAGAGAGAGTGATCATCAGGGCACATTGACTGTGGAGAGAATCAAAGCAGAGCGTGGCTCTGATGGCAGTACCTGGTCCAGGATGTAGTTGCGTCTCTTGCGGGCGGCGATCTCGATCAGCCTGTTCAAACACTGGGTGGCCTGCTGGATGAGAACATCCCAGCGCCCGGCGTAGTTCTTCTGGCGACGCAGGCCCATCACCTAAGAAACAAATAACCAGATCACACCATTATTGACTGCTGATCTATGAGCATGTGTTTTTTTCATGGTTGCAAACCAACCTTCATCTTGTCCATTATGGCATTTGTTCCCAGGATGTTGTACTTCTTCTCAGGGTTTGTTTCTGCGTGCTTTATTGCCCAAGTTGTCTTTCCACAGGCAGGAAGTCCAACCATCATCAAAATCTTAAAAAGCAGGTACAAAAATAGGTTAACCAAGCATTTTCTTCCTCAATCAAGAATCAAGTACCTACTGTATGCCCATTAATACAAAACAAGTGAGAACACTTCTTCTATAAGGTAGTTTGAATTTTTAAGATATTTCAACAGCATACATTTATTTTGTTTTTACCTCACAATCAGACTTGTTGACAGGTCCCTTGGTTCCTCTGATCTTTTGCTCCATTTCCAGGTTGTGAATGTAGGTGTATCCGTCAGGTGGAGGGAAATATGGCTCCCCCTTCTGTCCGAAATTAAACTCCACAGCACAATTCTTCACAAGCACGTGAGGGAACAGGGACCGGCCTGCCAACTCTTCCTTAGTGGTCCGAAACGCTACACCCAACCAAACACCGTTCTTGGAGTATCCCATTTCCACCTCATCACCACTGTCAAAATCCTAAAAATGATGATTACAAGACAATTATACAATGTGAAATTTATTTCACAAAAACAATTAAAATACATTAATGTGTGATGCAGTTGGTAATGTGAATGTAAACTTACAATGTAGCAGCCGATGACATCATTTTCACCAAACTTCTCACCGAAGTTGTCAAACTTGCAGTCAACAGATTTCTTCCCTGTTCCTCCATATCCAAAGGAGAACGGCTCTTCACCTTTAACATTAAAGGAAAATTCAGTTTCTCTTTGATGGACCACAGATCTTCTACACCAGAGTCTGAAGTGTCCAGACAGATGTTTTACTCACCCAGCTGAGTGCTACAGTGGTTCAGGGACCATCCAATTCTAACAACATGGGGATCCGGCTCACTGCTGGGGAGATGCTTCACAGGGATCTCCTCATTAATCTGAGACGGGAGAAAATCAGATCATCAGCATCGTCAATGGTGAGCGTATGAACATTGTTGCTTAAACGTTTTGTGCCCTACCTTCATCTCGTAACAGACACGACCCTGGTTGACACCATGTGTTGCTCGTGCTCCAGCCCACAAGTAGGCAAAGCCCTCAATGGTTAATGGGTATCCACTGTAGCGATCACGGGACACTTTGAAATGCAGATCACAATTGTCTGAAAGGAGACACAAAATAGTTCGTTTTATTAAGTCATTATACCCATCTGTGAATTTGCCTGTATGAAAGGTTAGAGAAGGTAAGGTAAGAGAAATTAGATGTGTTTCTATGTTGTTAAGATACACATTCTTGTGTAACAAAGAACAGCCGCAGCCCATTTATGAAATTGTCTTTGACAGTGACTTTACCAATCCAAACACAACATCTGACCAACATCTATCACACTTATGACACCTACAAAAATTACCTCGTCAGTTCACTTACATGTATCAATTGTGACAAGAGTGTCGTCTATGTTCTCTTCCT